CCATCGAGAAGCGTGCTCCGTCGAGACGCCTGTGACATTGGTTTCTGCACCGAGGGCACCGGCACCACCGGTGGTTGCCGGCGGTCCCCACCACCACCGTCACCTCGCTCGCTGACTACCAGGCCGCGCTCGAGGCCGAGGGTGCCGCCATTATCGTTGTCGACGGCGCCATCTCCGGCAGCGCCCGCATCCGCCTCGCCTCCGACAAGACCGTCATTGGTCTCCCCGGCTCGTCCGTCACCGGCATTGGCCACTACATCAACAAGCAGTCCAACGTGATCCTGAGGAACCTCAAGATCTCCAAGGTCGTCGCCGCCAACGGTGACGCCATTGGCATCCAGGAGTCCACCAACGTCTGGGTCGACCACTGCGACCTCTCGTCCGACCTCGACAGCGGCAAGGACTTCTACGACGGTCTGCTTGACATCACTCGTGCCTCGGACTTCATCACCGTGTCCAACACCTACCTGCACGACCACCACAAGGCCTCGCTCATCGGCCACAGCGATAACAACGCTGCGCAGGACACTGGCAAGTTCCACGTCTCCTACATCAACAACCACTGGGAGAACACGGGCTCGCGCAACCCCTCGGTCCGCTTCGGCACCGCCGTCCACATTGTCAACAACCTCTACGAGAACGTTGGCCTCACCGGTGTTAACGCCCGCATGGGCGCTCAGATCCTCGTCGAGTCGACCTCGTTCGTCAACTCGGCCAACCCCATCGTCTCGCGCGACTCGGACGAGACGGGCTTCGTCGTCGTCAAGGACGTCATCGGCGCCGACGACAACGCCGTCCCCGAGGGCACCCTGACCTCGGTCCCCTACGCCTACACCGCCCTCGGCTCCGCCAACGTCGGCTCCGTCGCCCAGACCGCCGGCCAGAAGCTCACCTTTGACGGCTCCTCCGCTCCCGCTCCCGCCCCTGCCCCCGAGACCCCCGTCGAGTCTGCCCCTGCTACCCCCACCGCGCCCGTCGAGGAGACCCCCGAGGCCCCCGTCGAGTCCGCCCCTGCTACTCCCACCGCGCCCGTCGAGGAGACCCCCGAGGAGCCCGCCACGCCCGTCGAGTCCGCTCCCGCCACCGAGCCCTCCGCCCCCGTCGCTGACGACGAGGAGGTCGAGGAGGTGTGCACCCGCCGCCGCGTCAAGAAGAGCCTCCGCCTCCGCCGCAAGGCTCTCCGCGCCTAAACTGGTGCCATGACTGTACGAGGATGAAAGGAAAAGACGGATGAAGCTGAGAGCCCGAGGTGCGGGAAATTTCGGGGCGCCCATTGCATCATTTTCCCCCCTTTTGCAAGCGAGCGCCTGAACGTTTTTGTTGTATATAGTTCTTTCTTTGAGGCACAGAGTGCTTGTCAATACAGTTGCCGGTTCCAACCATTTCCCTCCTTTTGATGCCATGTGTGTTTGCATGTAGAGCGGGTTGTCGCAGGAGGCACTTTGTGCACCATGGCTCGTCATTCCTGGTTCTTGAGAAGAGAACAGAGCGAATCGACCATATCGAGGCAAGCTCTGGCCTCCAGATGGCACTTCAACTCGGAAAAAAATCGACTCATCTGGAAAGGACTCATGATCACTCATTCATCTATCTACCCTACACCCCCACGAGCATGGACGAAGTACGAAGCCACGTGCCATCTTGTCAAGGCGTTGACTCGGCCGACAGCCGGACAAGAGGGCATCCAACTTCACCAATACGACAACAGTAGACAACGTTGCAATCTCCTCCTATCGACCCCAAACCGGGTTACGCTCCCACTTCTGGAGGGTCCGGACCACAGGACGAGCGATCGGCAAATCACCATCCCCTCAGCCTGCACGTGCCGGGTATCCCGGCGACGACCACTACCTCACCCGGCTCTTGGCCCGGGCGCACGTGTTGAACAGCGCCGACAGGTGAGGGGGAGCCAATTGTCTGTTGTCGGCTATGCAGGAACAGCGTCGCGTTCGTCGTGCTGCACTCAACAGCACCGGCCGGCCAGTTCTCCGGTCGCTCGTGTCGTTATCCGCCATCGGGCCAGGCATTGCAGATCAACAGTCGAATTGACAGTAATACGACGCAATAAATAAGAGGCCGTCTGACCGTTGCCTTGCGACCATGTCCTGCCTCACCCTCCATCTCATAGAAGCCGCAGGCTCATTTGCTTGGATCCTGGTCGCCGGACGCAGCGCCCTCTCACCATGAGCTTCTTCGCCCCCGTTCTCGCCATCCTGGCTCTTACCGGCGTCGCCCGCGCAGCGGCCGGTGCGTCGCTTGACCCTGTCCAGCCCGTTCTCTTGCCCGACGGCGCCTATGCGAAGAACCCGCTTTCGCATCTTGGCGGCAATGGCCCGTCCTCTTCTGGTAAGCCGACACGTCCTTGAGATGCTACGATTGACGAG